AAACCCCAGAAATTTCAGGGGAAAATATAAATCTGTAGCTGCTTTAGTTGTATTTTTATTTAGGATGGTGTCAAATTCCTCGGCTATCTGCAAATAAGATTTGCAGCTCTTCACAAAGTCAAAACACAGCTATTCCCGACTTCTTTAATAGTTATAAACATTGTAAAATTTACCTTGTAATTTCGACTTTCGCTAACAAAAACATATTGAGAAAGTTCTTTATCCAAAGAAGGTGCTCCTTTTCTTTAGTTTAGGTTTATTTTTCTTCGTTTTGAATAGTTTTGAAAGACTTTTAGACACTTTTTGCCGTTTGAACGTCGGCTCTTGTCGCGGGGCAAAAAAATTGCGTATTGCCCGTGGGCAATATGGGAAAATCCTGCCTCGTTAGCAGCCAATCAAATTGCGCGATTCATCAAAACAAATGCTTGCCGTATAATAAATATATTGATTTTTTATCAGTCAAAATGAAGCAATCTGATTGGCTGAGGAGCCTTTCAGAGCGGGCCGGTTTTTTGCATCCGGCCCGCTCTGAAACGCAACTGCCCGCTGTGAAATGCAACTGCCCGCTCTGGTTTTCGAGGCAAAATATTAGGAGTGAAAAAATTTTTAAACGAAAAAATCTGCCCAAAACGTTGGAATAACGTAGCCTAGCAATAGTCAAAATACGAAAATGAATTGCATCAAGCCCTAAAGACTTCATACTAAGCACGATGTACACCAAAATTGACAATATTTTGAAAGAAATGCGACTGAAAGTCGGAAAGTTATTTGACGTGTACAAAAATTACGCCGAGAAAACTATATATTTTTTAAATGCTCATGTATTCGGCCAATCGGCCACTTAGAAGCGAAAAAATTACAGCTTAAACTGAATATTGTAAAATAAATGTTTTCCCATTTAAAAAAGGTTTAACTGCAGCAGTGAAAACAAGTCACGAATATATTCTCTACCATTTGTGGCAGGCATTTTTCACTGATATAAATATTGTAAACAACGTAAAAGTCTGTGTTTAAAAACACTTTTTTTCAAGCATATTATCGTGAAACGACCAGAAAAAATACAAAAATATAAAAATAACATACCTTTTTCGTTGTCCTTTTAGTTGAAAAACGTTGATTAAATCAAAGTAGATTCATTTTTATGTGTTTTTGAGTCGGATCTGAACATGAACCTGTCGATATCAGAAGCAACTGAACTTGTCAAAGCCAAAATGCCTGGCTTACAACTTTTTATATTCCAAAGCTTTTCTGCTACCATATTCATGAAAAAAGCATGTAAATTGTTACTGAAAGTACACGTCTTTTTGTGTGTTTCTTGCCAGTTTTCTCGAGTTTTCGTATTCTTGTTTTATATTTGTCAAGTTTCAACTTTTCAATTTTTGTCAGCCTCGCTTTCAAAATAAACAACTGCACTGATCTCAAATTAGTTCGCAAGCAACACTGGAATTTTAATGAATTTAATTTTTCAAGACCTCGGGCACAGTTTTTCTCATCCGGACCTCGCAGCCGGTAAATAACATATATATATTAGCACGTTGATATGTTAGGGCTTCGGGGGCGCAATCGTCAGAGCAAGCGCCTCACACCTCTGAGATCGTGGGTTCGATTCTCGCTACGGACTCATGCATGACACTTGTGTGAAAAGAGTCCGTCAACGCTCTACCGAAAGTCGTGGGTTTTCTCCGGGTACTTCGGTTTCCTCCCACACAAGGAATGTTGACAGGGGGGTTGGGATTATCCCCCTAACTGACCCTTCCATTGTAGCTGTGCTCCGTGATCAGGTATGATTCATACTTAGTTCTCAGCTGCAAGTGTAAGGATAATTAGCACACCCCACTAACTTACTAACAATTAAATTGTTTGGAGTGTCCTTCGTTTTGTATAGGTAATCATACGAGAAGAAGTGCAATTAATGATTGACACTACGAGTGATATTTGGAAAATGTGCCAAAATTGCATAAGCCGCCGATTTATTTATTATATGCACGACAAAATCGCGTCCTTTAAAATTCAACTGCATTCTGTCAGGAGTTTTTAATTCTTTTGTAAGCAATTTGGCATAAACAAACTTGGGAAATCATCATAAACTCATTAAGGCATTAAACTAGAGCTCATGATTCAAACTCAAACAACATATCTTAGAGCAACAAAAATCTTTATATAAAATTGTATTACATGCAGACTTACATAGTCACGTTTCGCTGCATCCCGCCGAGATTACTTCTTAAAACTGTTTCCAGGTATTTTCCACAGGCTTTTTTTTGCCATACTATGTTTTTTAAACTCATTCTTATGCCACGTTTGTTATTTATACAAGATAAAATTCTCCGCCATATTGGATTTTTGTCGTTTTGATTTCCCTCTACCACCAGCCATCACAAAAATCATTAATTGCACTCCGGAATTAATGAAATAATCGCACTCCTCTTAACCAATCAGATTGCAGTAATTTTGTCATGCATGTAATTAACAATTATTCGCCGAAGACAAAGTGATTACCGGTGAATATTCGCCGAGACGAAGTCGAGGTGAATATTCACTGTAATCACTGAGCATGAGGCGAATAATTGTTTTAGTATAAATTTTTAATGAATAAAACAAAATATCCAAGTTATGCAACTATTAGTTTAATTAAAATTCAGAAATAAAACTGTTTTCGATCGGTTTACGGCGTTTCTTGTACACACATGCTTTCAAAATGGCTTCCTGTGTGACTTTATTGCTTTATTACAAAGTTATTTTTCTCGGATATAGTTTCTGTTTAGCATTAATTTGTTCAGGAAATGGCTGAACAATTTGGTAAAATGAAATGTTAAACTATATCGTTCGAAGCATAAAAGTTTTAATACACTTTTCACTTTATACAAGTTTCAAAAACACAATAGTACAATACAATGTGCTGTATAGCACAATAAAAACACGATATATCAAAAGAAATAGTGTCGTACAAATTGAGATATTTATGGGATACAAAACAAAATTGTTTTAAAAAGAATGTCACGGCTTTTCTCAACAGTCGCGGGATAGTTTTTGCCATGTGTTTGAAGCGAATGTTTCGGAGTTTTGATAATAATTTGTGCATAATGATATGTTTGGCACCGTAAAATAATAAAGAAATCCTACCTTTCAAGTTGAATACAACATTTTGTGCTTTTTTTTTGTTTTTTGGGACGATTTTTAAAATATTTTTTTCGATTTTGAAACCAAATTTGCCAATCAGAGCGCGCGAAAGCTCATTTGATATGCAAAATTTATATTAATTAGTGTTATATACTACATTCTTATTTTACCTCTATGTTCTCCACATGCAGTTCTTGTCTACCACTTGGTATACTAGTATCAATATCAACATCCATGTCTGCAATGTCATCACCTCTTGCAGGGTAGGCTGGCTGAAACAGATCACTTACTGAGCGATTTACTAGCTGTTCAATCTGGGGAAGTTGCTCGTTCGATTCAAGAAGCTCGTCAATATGAACTGACTGCCATTTTCCACCTTGAAATCCTACAAAATGTTGACATCCCCCTGCAATCTTTGGTAACTGAATGATAAAGATGATGTGGATAGGTTTCACAGGAACGCCAAAGTTTTCTAGTGTACGACGCCGGGTGTCATCAACAAGATATCGACAACAGGCAATTAAGTTGAAGTTTGCCTCACCATTATCACATTGAACAAGCAGAAGTCCTTCAGCACCACCAAGTGCAACAAAGAATTCTCTACATTAAAGTAAAGAAAGTAAAACAAACGAGAGCATGAGTTAATATCGAGAGAGATCCGTGTTCGAATTATAAAAGGTATTGCAATGATAGCAGGGATTAGTGTTCTCATTCTAAAACTCGACCTTCTTCCCCCCCAAAAAAACGGTATTAGCTACTAAAGTGCTTGTATTAATTATAATTAATACAAGCACTTTAGTAGCTAATGCAGGTTTTTTTTGGGAAAGAGGGTCGAGTTTTAAAATGTGAACACTACCCCCCCCCCCCCCCCGTCTCCATGAAATAACATTTTCCGAATTCAGACAGCACTTTTGATACGAAGACTATAACCAATTTTAAAATATGTTTTCGAATCTTAATTTTAATGAAATGTTAATCTTACAGTAGCAGCTAAAAGCTGAAATATACAGAATTAATTACATGCAATATTTCAGAACATAGTATAAAAAGGACTCTTAATAACATATACTACATGAAAAATTCTAAAACTACGTAATACCACATGTTACTATCATGCAAATTTTAAATATCCCTAAAACGTCTAAATATTAAGATAACGAGTCATTATAAGCTAAAATACTTGAAAGTAAAAATGAATTTTGAAATCTATTAGTTTTACAGTCAATTAAATTCACATGGTTATCATTAGTTCTAACGTCTATCAGGAACGGGTTCATGCAAATTGTGTTTGGGGTGAAGAAGTTTTTTGAAATATGATATACATATATCAACATATTTCCATCGGTTGTTGCGAGTGACAGCCAAGTCGTTGACCATTATAAGTAAGAGAAGCGGGCCGAGAATTCTACCATGCGGTACGCCACCATTTACAAATTCCCAATCAGATAACACAGACCCCAACTTTACCCTCTGTCTTTAATGGCATGTTTAAAAACATACTAGAAATACATGCATGCAACAACTCCTCGCCTATATTCCCAAAAGATTGTTTCAACATGAAGTATTCATAGTTACGCCAACTGAACGCAGGCTCGCGTTGCTAACGTCATGTTAGTCATGGCAACACCATAATTGTTTTTTAAATTCTTTGTACAAACCTGCAAAAAATAGATGAAACTTGAACACTTTTAAAGACAGAACTATCAATTTCAAAATATATAAAGTAGGTATATTATTGTATGGTTTGTGTTGGCTTTATTTTAATGTAAAATTCAAAACGGAACTCTGCGTAAAACGATATTTTGCCGATATTAAACTCTTCAACTTAATGAGCTTCAACTCGCACTTTAAAACGAAATAAATCTTTTTCGTACAAGACACTTATGAAAATAATTTGCTTTCCTTTTTATCATGAACTTCTACAAAACTAACAAAAGTTAATTTAACTAAGAAACTTTCGCATACAATGTATAGGAAAGACAACAAGAACAAAGTCTATAATAATACAAATTTAAGTCATACATAAACAATTGAAACAAACTTGCCCTACACTATGGGCTATACTTTAGTATTTCTCGTACTAAATCAGTTCTTATAAATGTTTTTTCAAACGTTTAAAAATTGCAAGAAAGTCTTACAATTTTTTATATGAAACGATTTTCCAAGCTTTCTTACACGTATTTTTTATAGTTTTCTCATCTTCACTCCTGGCAAACAGCCACATTTTGAGATCAGCGAGATGACCACCCGTACACCATGCGCCCGCAGTATTTAATGAACTTTGGACTTCGCTAGTGCGTTCCTTTCCCCAGGTGTAAATAGCCGGGCGGAATTAGTACCCTCGCCCCGGGCTTACGCCCGGAACGGCGCTCCACGCTGTTGGCTCGGGAACAACGATCAAGTACTGTATTCCTTTTACATGCCGTTAATTATTCACATTTGCCAACAATTTCCTTTTGCTTTCGAATCTTTATTGAGTCAAATGAACATTTTTTGCAAATTCAGGACAAATACAACAACCCCCCCTCCCCCAGCCAAATACTATACACATCCATGGCACCTTTACAGCCAAATACGTACATAATATATAGAATACACTGTTTATATTTTGAATACTATATAAGGACAATTCATACAATGAGACAATCATGCATTCGATATAGACCATGTACATGCATAACAGATTTACTTCAAGTACAGTAGAAACTTAAATTAAATATGAATTACAAAAGGTAACGTTTAAATATTTTGACGCTAGAAAAAGTATTTGGACGAGCTACTTTGCAAACACTGTTCCATAATTTTACAATTCTATTGAAACATGAATCTTGACCAAAAGAGTCTTCAGCATCGAATTTTGATTCAGAGTAAGGCAGGAACGATTGTGGGTGATAAAAGAGACAAAGTATTGAACGTTGAGGTCTGAGATACCACATAAAAAGCCTTGTTGAAGAAAACCAGATCTTTCGCATCTGTATCACAACACAAGGGAAACTTTTTAAATCTTTCAGTAGCTTGCTCTAGCTAGTGTGCATGTCACCTTTCCCAGCTGCCATGCACATCTATCTGGTAGCTCTCTCCCGTTCGCGCTCTATCTTCTACTTCTGGGTGAAAATTTACAGCATATTGTGTAAAATATAATCAAGGAGAAAGATTGAGTTTCCAAAATCAAGTGAAAAGAGCTTGTAGGCTATTAACCCCTGCACGCCGTTTTCACAGTATGGCTAGAAAGATATCTCAGTCTGTATAACTCAATGTAATAACAGTGCGAAATATGAACATATGCTGACCTTGTAATTGGTCGAATCACATAAAATAACCACAGGCATATAGTCCATTGCTGACAAGCATAACTGGAATCGTGTATTTGGTTATTCTGGATAACTGGCACGCCACGCCCAAAATCTTACATCCTAGCTAAGATCCTGATTATTTCCCGATACGCATAACGTTAACTTCACTTACTCTAATGTCTTGACAAATTGTTGCTCTGTATGAAATTCCTGAAGGCTAATACAATGAGACTGTAAACCTGTAAACCCAGCGGCTGATGCTATGGCCCGAGAATTTGCTTGTGATAACAATCGAGAGTGTGTGGTAATCTGGAAAAAAAGTTTCATAATTATTAACAATGTTATGATTTCGTTAATTTCATTAACCGTCATATTAATATAAAAGCAAAATATAAAAACACTGCCACTTTACAAAGAGTGACTGGGCACGTGGTGCGACATATTCTGCTTTGTTACGACATGTTATTATTATATACATTTGTCACGGTATTCGTAATTGGCCACGGCTCGCGTTGTGGCGTCAAATGTTGGCATTAGAACAAAAAATTTTTACAATGGAAATTCTTAATTTTTTAATATTTTTTGAACAAAACGGAAAAATAGTTGAACGATTAGTACTTTTAACTATACATAACAAATTTCCGAATTACTACGAATTCAGGTTGAGTGTTTAATGACGTCACGATCATGTGAACGTTGAAACAGAAAAACGCGGGTGTTGTCAAGTGGCAAATTACTTGTTGCTATGACTAGAGAATATCTGTAAACAAACGGTTTTTAAAATGTGGCGCGCAGATGAATAAGGTTGTAACAATAGGAAATATTATTAGCAATGGATGTACATGATCCCGAAAGGAGTTTTTCCTGGAAAATTCGTAGAAGTAGGCAAGTAGACGTCCCCTTGGGATATCGTCAGCCATTGTATCGAAAACTTGGAAACGTTTATACTGCCAAGATAAAATAGTTTCTCCTAAGCCAAACGCAGATAACAATGGTCTTCTTGCCTGCAGTGTTTAATAATCTCATTATTCGAGATTTAAAATACTTCGATGATAAGTCAATTTCAGGCCGATCTGGTTCTACGATAACAGTGCCGTAGCAAGCTCGATAATTGGGGCGGGGAGCATAATTATTCATATATTCGTGTTCACAGACAATAAAAACAATCGATTTCAAAAGAAATTAATAACGCAGAACACGAATATATGAATATGAGCCCCCTCTCAAATTGTGGAGCTTGCTACGGCACTGGATAATCAAACGCATCGACACTTCGCTTGGTGCAGTTCTTCTACACGTGAGAAAAAATCATCATACATTAACGATAGAAATCTTCGTTCCCTAGTAATATGGGGTTATTCGATTGTTACAATAATAATTGTATACAACCTGAATTTCAGGAAGATTATCCATATATTTTTGCATTACAGTGCAATTTCTAAACATATATATTCAATTCAAAATGTCGCCGCTCCCTCATAGCAACAATTAGTCATTTGCCACTTGACAACATCCGCATTTTTCGGTTTCAACGTTCACATGATCATGACGTCATTAAACACTCAATCTGAATCCGCAGTATATACGTGGGTATGTTATTTTGCATTTTGGAGCTTTAATTTAATGTAAAATTTAATCTAAAACGCTTCATAAAATTTTTTGAAATGTTCATTCAACTTATAACTGCTTTTGCCGATAAACTGTTTTTACTTCGGTCTTTTTCTTAAATTAAACGGCGTAACTTAGAAAACTAACAGCTTCATTGAAAAAGAAATCAGTGCAAATTTTAGGCAAACAGCCATATTTTTAAGATCAGCGGAAAGTCCACCCTTGGATGCCCAGAAGAGTGCTTCGCGCCGTTGGCTTGGTAATTACCGAATAGTCAGTATTAGAAAAAGCTTATTACCTGGACAAGAAAACTATCGTTTTTATTGTTTCCCAAGCAATGAACTAGATAATCTTTCAAACTCCCATGTTTCTGATTTCTGAAATATTCTATCCAAAGCTCTTCTGCATCGTGCTTTAATTTTGTTGCTGGTAGCCTAGCAATAGCATCGGGTGATGCACACTGCAACAACGTGTATATTGATTGGGAAATGATCTGAAAAGAAATAATTTAATCTCTAGACAGAACATTTTGGACTGGGAGGGAGATAATAATCATTGGGATGCTTCTGCGTGGGACAAAAATCACCAGCTCATAAAATTTCAATGCAGGGGGATCTATAAGGGATTGTCGAGAGCAGTGATGGCGTCCAGTCAACTATAGCTGTCGTTTTAAGAAATAAAATAAATGAATGAAATAGTCATTAGAAACACCCCACATACTTCTTTTTTTGCAGGCAAAACACAAGGAAATTTCTCCGAGTTGTGCACGAGTAATATTACAAATGCTGGAGACTTGGTAGGTCTGTTGAACGTATACAAGCAATGCATGAAAAAATTCTTACCTGCTTATTAGACCAATCATTCCCAAGATTCGAAATTGTCATAACTACCGCAGCAGCAGTATCGCTATGGTAACCAACAAAACAATCACCAGGCTTGAATAAGCTATAATGTCACAAAAACACACTGAATTTCAGAACGCAAGCTATCGTTAAATCATCATACCTATCAGTGTACATAGCTACTGGAACAAAATTTCATTTTATAATGCACACTTCTGTCTCTCGTTTACAGGATAAGTGGATGATTGGAAATTTGTAAATGTTCATTTAGTGTAATTTAAGCTACACTGACATTCAACTATTTGACAGCTTATTTTCTCCTGTGCTCTCCCAACACCTATAGAACCTTACAGACCCCCATCAAACGTGAAAAAATATGTCCATGACTTTATGCCTCTTTTCGATCGTATAATTTAGGACAACATAACTGATTCATATAGAATCAATTCATTCATATACAAGTTGACAACGCTTTTCTAAAGCCCTGGTCAAACGAGGATAAAAGTTGATGAGAGCTGGCAAGCAAGATTTTGCGTAAGAGTTGATGAAAATTGATTAGACAAGTGCAGAATTGACTTCCACTAACCCTACCGCCACCATTGAATGATCAATTACATGGGATTAATCTACCCGATTAACTAATCTAATGTGTAATTAAGCCAAAGAGAGGCAACAGTAGTGGAAGTCAGACCTAAAACTCTCTGGTGATACTAAACAGCGGGCGTAAATTCTTAACAACTCTCATCAATATTTGAACCAGCTGAACTAATAAGAATGCACGAGTCAATGGCAGTTGGCGGTCAAACGTGAGGGAGAGCGAATTGCAACATGACTCATTGACTTTCATCCATGTTTCACCGAGATCTGCTTGGTATATTACAATATATTATACCTCAAATTCAAATTGTCCAATCAGGAAGCTTAGTTTGTGCCACGTGAGCATGAAATTAATCGCGATATCACGCCTTGCGTCATCAATTAGCGAGCCTGCGTTCTTTTTGACAATGTTCCACCGCATGTTCCCCGGGGAACATGGGGTGGAACATTATTCGCGTAGACCACGCGAGACAACACGCATGACAACAACATGGCCGACAAAATATAAATAGTATTGATGAGTGATGAATAATCTGGGTAAATGATGTAAAACCTGGGGCTTTTTCAAAATTTTGAAGTAAATTTTGAAAAATGTTGTCATTAATATTCCAAACGATATGTGATTGGAAAGAAAAGCGACGATACTTGCGTTAATCCGAAAATAAAACATCGTATTCACGAAGGTATGTGTCAAGTTTTTATTTCTCAACTTGGAGGCTTTTAATTTTCGGTATAATATATCATTTATAGACCCTCCGCTCGGGGAATTCGGCGAAATATTACCCTCAGTGATGATATTTCCCTCGGGGCAAAGCCCCTCGGGAAATATCATCACTTCGGGTAATATTTCGCCGAATCCCCCTCGCTCCAGGTCTATAAATGATAAATATTCTGTAATGACGAAATTGCTTTTTCTGTTTGTTAAATTTTATTTTTTTAGCTACGAAGTCCCGCATCTACATGTAAAATTCTTACACAGAAAGCCCTAAAACGACTTGTTTTTCAGTGTTTTACTTTTGCTAAAGCTAAATGTCGGCAAATTCTAACTACGGTATGGTTATTCATTAAATCATTGTATTTAATCACACGTTCTACCTCTCGCCAGACGAATATTCAGGCTTTGCTTCCGAGAAGAGCTTCACCCAGCCCTCCAATTCTTTAACCAAGTGAGCTTGACGTTCTGTTAAACCAGTCGACATTACAAGTAAATGTTTTTCCAGTCGATTGATAAGAGGAATTGGAAAACGTTGATAAACGACATCTTTTTCAGCAACTACAATCAATCTGCATACAAAATGAATTTTACAAAGTGTTATGATTGCATGCATGTCTTTGACAGACTCTGCAACCTACATTTGCCCCCAACTTTCTCCATTGCATGCCGTTTGTAAAAAAGTATCCAAATAATTCTTTCTGGTTGAGTCAAATCTAAATCACAACCGGTGCCTTTTGGGGCACATTAAGAGCGTGTGTCTCTAAAAACCGCCCACTGACTTGGGGCTCGAAAAATAAATTCCTTCGAAACTTTTACCGTGAACTACATTTACTTTAACAACAAACAAATGCTGTTTGAAATTTTGAAAATATATTTAGTTTCAAAGTTTTAGCGATTTTTTGGTCTCGCACCGTCGCAGGAGAAATTCGCCGGCTACTTAAACGAAAAAATGGAATGAATTTAAATAAACTTAATTTCAAAACGTTTTTGTTCAAAATTTCTGATATTCACACCCAGCACCGGAAAACTATCGTAATTCCATCTAAACTAACTTAGGTTTTCAATTACAGAGAATTTGTGACAATATTTAGCGACAAAGAGCGCCATGTCAAAATACGGCTTTCAAATCCTACTATTTTCTACGCTGAATTTCTTAAAAGTGGGACCTAATTACATACAGTGACTAGTATAGTTGGAAAAAGGACACTTTGAAGTACTAAAAACCGTAATAAAACTCGTCTGCAAACGCGATTTGAACAATTGAGAGCGTTTGAAATTTGATACTCTTTATGGCCTTTTGTTTACATTAGAATGTTGCTGAGGTCAGACGTCTGAGTTCGTGTCACTTCTAAAAATGCGCTGTAGTTCTGCCAAATAACCTTTCCCTCTCAAATAAGTTTATTGCAATATAGTACTATCTATATTTCTTTGTTTATGTCCACCGTAAGTGGTTCCAAGGGATTTAAAATAATAGGCATGTTAAAATAAACAACTTGACCAAATTAATATGCTACTCGGGGAAAAGCCCGCATGCAACGCGAATTCTATATGTGGCACATGCTATATTTAGTGTGATTTAGAGTTTGCATTGCAGCATACTAAACTATTGCTTAGTTCGAAAAGTCTATAGATGTGCGAAGTTTAGTTCTGGAAGCTTTCTGCGAAGTTGATCTTTGAATTATATTGCTGCAAAATTTGAGAGTTGGTATGGATAATCTGTGTTCTTTTAATGCTATCGGTTCAACTGTATGCGGAGGGTGTCGGGGTGAATCGGGTATTATACGCTTAGAAGATTGTGATGAGAACATTCAAAACCATCTTTCAAGTTGCCGTTTGTCGAGATCTGGTTTTAGCGAGCGCGAGCTGATTTTGGGAAGAGCGGAATTTTTACATGAAATATCAAGCGAAGAAATACGCTCTATGACAGTATGCCCAAACCACCGGTACAACTTGGGCCGATACTGGAGACCTCGTCTAACATGCCAACATCCTTCTCACACTGCGCCTGCACGCCGCTGCAAAGGAAAAGATGTCATTAACCTGGAAGTATCATGGGATGTATTCCAAATTTATGGAGTACTTGTGCAAGTTGGTTCTCGTAAGTGATAAATATAGTCCAAATTAGAGATAATATAATCGCATTGTTAATTTGTTTTTGGCAATATAATTAGAGTTGCACCGCGAATAGGCCAGTGCGACATTCGCATGGTAACATTGGAAATTAGAGGTATACTGTAGTATCACAGCGACATGCTGA